TAAGCGCTGCCTGTTTTGCGCTAAGATCAGTTTCTAAGGAACTTAACTTCTCAACCTCTAGAATAGCCTGTTATGCCCTTGGTGGCTAGAACTGTTTATTATGCACTTTTTGAGTCGCACCTCAGGTATGCCCTTCCATTCTGGGGTGCGTGTTGTGCGGCTCAATTTGACCGCATTTTCAAGTTCCAGAAGAGAGCTGTTCGATATTCACTGGGACTAAATAGCAGAACTCATTGCCGGGGCTTTTTTAGAGAATTAAAAATATTGACTCTTCCTTCCTTATTTATATTTGAATCCGTTTGCCTAATACGTAAACATGTATCAGCTTCTCAAGAAAGGCCATCTCACACTTATCCACTCAGGAACGCGGAGCAAGATCTTTATCTACCTACCCCACGCTCAGAGTTAGTTAAAAGTTCAATATTATACAACTCGAAAAAAAATGCACAATCACCTGCCATTTGAAATCAAATCCATAACATCATTTTTTTTTCATTTCGCAAAGCATTGAACTCTTATTTACTAGACAAGGCTTTCTACGCCGTAAATGAATTATATTTGAATTGAAAATCGAATTTGATCTTGAAAACACTGGTCTAATGTTTGCTATTGCTATATTTACTAATGACATCGAAATTAATTTATTTAGAGGTCATTGATATTTTGCTATAAACTGGCTAAATATTTTTGAATATTATTTTAATTTTTTTTTTGTTCTTTTTGACATTGTAAACATTTATATATGTTTATTTTAACAATAAGACTGACAATATTATTTGTATAATGTTTTGTATTATCTTTTGTTTGTTTGTTTGTGTACCTTGTCTTTTTTTACTTTGTTTGTTAGTTTACCTTTGTCCACAAATTGAAAATTTTTTGACAATAAAGGCATTTATTTATTTATTTATATTTGGTACAACCAGACCAATGCTGAACCTGGTGGTAAGTTCGCAATGTTTCATGACAAAATTGAAGAAACTAAACTAAAACTAGTTTTAGTGAACCCTAATCGACATTTGATTTCGGAAAATCGACTATACATAATATATCATATTTTACGAAAAATTGTAGTAACTTTAGTAGTACATAGTACGTAGTACGTTAGTACATACTTTAGATTTGCACTTACAGAAAATTTCCAAGTTTTTTATTCTAGGAGCTATATACAGTTGCCCGACGCACTATTGCCGAACCCTGTATAAAAAGAATCAAACTATGTTGATCATGTGAATTTACTTCTTTGAAAGAAATTTATTTGAATTTGGCAGAATATAGAATCAGATTGACTAAGTAATATAGAATAAAAATTTTCAATATATTTTTCGGTTCTTTTTGTACTTAATCCCAATTTTTTTACATCAAATAATAAATCTTTTTTCTATTTTTTTATCAAAAATTTTAAGGACTATCAATAAAAGAAAGGTACTATTCCACAAACTAGGAATATACCTTGCAAGTACTCATACCCTTCTTTATAAGAAAATGCTAATATATTCCTAGCATGTGAAAGACCTTATTCTTAAAATTATGTTTCACCACTTTATTGATAACTTATATACAAATCTATTTTAATATTCCCAGTATAAAATAATACTAAAAATTAACATAAAACATTTTAACACAATAAATATTTAAGTGAAATACAATAATTGTCAAAAACAGACAGTAAATTTGGCAATTTATCTGGATGTTTCACATGCTAGGATTATTTTGTTCGTAATTACGTTACTTTTTAACAATTCAGTATAATTTATATTACCTAGCATTCCTTTGAAATAAACTTTGAATATCATGTTTTTAAAAACAATATATTATATTAATTCAATTTGAAGATTTTTTTAGTTCAAGAAATAGAGCCTGTTCATTTTAATGAGAACGAATTCAAACTTACAGAGAATACCACTAATGATACTTTAAAAACGTTTAAATCAGCATAACATTTTTGGAAGATTGCATTTTGATTTGGGTAGGGTTGGTAAAATCTTGGTTAAATCTTCAAAGTACCCTCTATGAAATAAAATAAAGAAAATTTATCTTTCTTAACAAATTTAAAGCTTCATTCAGAACCTCGCAATTAGTGGAATAAATTAGTGGTTTCAATTAGCGTAGAAGTTTGTTCCTTTAATTTCAATGTAAGCATTCAGAACGTCAAAACTAGCAGTAGACATTTTCAATTAGTAGAAAAAGTTCTCAAATTATTTAATTTCCCACTAATTATACTTCAAAATTTGCGAGAAATGTAATTTTGGCTTTTGATTATCTTCCGTCATGAGAAATTGTGGTTAGGAATTAAAACTGGATTGTTTTGTAAGCTAAATTTTGGTTTCCTCTTTGGATACAACCCTATACAACTGACTAACGCAAACTGTTGCTGGGATATTCTATTAATTTTAATTGTGTTTTTTAAACATTGTGAACGATCGTAAACTAAAAAGTATAAAGTGTAATTGAAACCACTAATTTATTCCACTAATTGGGAGGTTCTGAATGTAGCTTTAGGACCATTACGTCTTCCGGAAACTTTCAGTAGAACTGGCAGCATATTCTGCAGATAATAATAAAAGCTCAGAGTAGTATGTCTTGTATCGTTAGTTTCGAGATACAGGTGTAGAAATTTCATTTTTTATTTCGATTTTTCCAAAATACTTATGAGACGTCTCATATTTGATGAAAATTGGTGTGTGATAGAGTTTTTGATATGAGGAATTTGATTTTCATATCAACATGACTCCTATTTAGGGCCACCACATATATTTTTAACTGTTTTGAAGAGTAATAACTTTCATCCGTACCTGTATAAACTATTGAGTAAAAAAAATATACATTTACGACTTTTTACGTAAAAGGTCCCTTAGTAAAAATCGCTACGAGTAATGGTTCTCGAGATATTTGAGTCGTAATTATCAATACCTGTCATTGACATAAATTAAACATGTTGACTAAATAGTTATTCGACTGAAATCATAAATTTGAAATGTTTTTGTGCCAAAAGTTCAACAAAAACTGTTTTATCATATCATTTTTTCGCAGAAAAATTTATGATTAATTTAAAAAAATAAAAATTTCACAAATTTATTGTTTCAGTCAAATGACTATCTACTCAACGAGTTTATATATTTTTGTCAATAATGACATGTATTGACTATTTCCATTCTAAATATCTTGAGGACGGTTGCTCGTAACGATTTTTACCAAGAGACATTTTTAACGTAGAAAATCATGAAAATGTATATTTTTTCACTCAGTTGTTTCATACAGGTACGGACGAAAAGTTATTACACTTCAAAACAGTAAAAATACACGTAGGTGGCGCCCTATACAAGTAGGAGTCATATTGACATCAAAATCACAAATTTCTCATATCAAAAAACTCCCAGACACCAATTTTCATCCAAATATGGACGTTACTTCAGAAATTATTTAGAACAAATTGAAATAAAAATGAAACTTCTACACCCTGTATCTCCGAAACTAAGCATTTTAGGACATACATTTATACGAACTTTTTCACTTATTTTTATCTGTAGCATATGCTGCCGAAGTTTCCGGAATACAATTCGGACCATCCCGTATATCTAAAAAATCGATCACGTTGAAATGTGGGGTAAAATTTTGAACCTTTTTAGAGTATCTTTTATGTTGGTCTAATTTGTAATTCCTACAGTTTGAAAGGAGTTAAGAGTTTAGTGCATTAAATCATGATGAGTTTTATTAAATCATGATAAATAAATCATCATGAGTGTATTAAATCATGATAAGTTTAGTGTATTAAATCATGATGTATTAAATCATCATGAGTTTAGTGTATTAAATCATGATGAATAAAACACAATATTCAAGGTTAAAATTAGGAATTGAATATACAGGGTATCCTATTTTTGTGTGTTTTATGGAGTCTCATTTATAAGTACATTTACAAAGATGCGGTTTTCAAATCGCTGTGCTACTTTTTTTATGAAACTAAAAGATGCTACACACAGATTTGTCCTAGCCTTCTTGATTTCTGAAATACAGGGCGATTTTGAAAATGTTGCATTGGTCGGCTCCCTTCGTATCTTAGTAATCTTATAACTTATTGAAAAGATGAAAATTGAGCCTCATAGAGTATTTTATGTAGAAACCAGTGACATATGTAAGTAGTTCTTCACTGAGAGCTGTTAGTTTCAAAATATGACTAAAACTTTTTTTTAAATGGGACATTCTGTATATTATTTTTTCCTTTGTCATGAGCTTTTTATAATAAAATATATGGTATACTTATGTTTATAGACAACGTAAAAATATGCAGTTTCTAACTTTTTCACGTAAATAAACCTAGCTTAAAAGGTTTTAATTTTTAACTCTATGTTAAAAGGGCGTTGTCATTTTATTTCATTTAATTTAACCAGGTAATTTTGCTTGTATTTTACGTAGAAACCAGTGACGTAGTCAAGAACTAGTCTTCGCTGGGAGCTGTCATTTTTGTTCATTTCTGAGGTTTCAAAATACAACTAAAACTTATTTTTTGGGACACCAATGTTTTTTGGGACACCCTGGCCACCTATGTTAGAAAGTTAAATAAGGCATTTTTTACCTTGTTTATGAAAATAAGTATAGAGTTATTTTAAAATAGCTGATAACAAGTCAAATCAAATACAAATGTCATATACAGGGTATCCCATTAAAAAAAACATAAGTTTGGGTCATATTTCAAGAATAACAATTCGCAGCAAAAATCTAGTTACGCTACTGAATTCTACGTGAAAAATTCTATAGGATCCAGTTTTCACCTTTTCCATGAGTTATAAGATAACCAAGATACGAAGGGATCGAAAAATACAACATTTTCAATCTCGCCCTGTATATCACGCTTATCACCGCAACACGCCGTAACACGCTTATCGCCGCAGACAGGACTCTAGAAGCGACTGATGAGAAATTCGATTCGCAAATACGGGTGTAGTAGACAGGGTTCGGAAGTAGTTAATTAAGACGTAATTTACATGATTAACTACGTGTAGTTTTTCTTGAAAAACTACGTATTTTCCCGTTAATTCATCGGAAATGTTTAATGTAAAACCGCTCCACTAAAAACAGTCGCTCGGCGTAAACTATTCGTCCCCCTCCCATGCATTCTCTGATTTTGCCTGATGGCGCCGATAGCTCAAATGGCGCCGATAGCTCGAATGGCGCCGATAGCTCGAAGCGCACCGATCTAATGCAGTGCGCGGGCTTACATTTATTTCAACGTAAACTGAAGATTACGTGCCACTCGCTCGCGCCGATACCCATTCAGTGCGCGCCCTCCTTAATGCGGCGCGTTCGGTTCGGCTCAGTGTGCGCGACAAGAAAAAAAGTCATTGTGCACGTACCTTTAAGGTTCATAAAAATGTAGCACAGTAAAGTGCAAAGAGGATCTCTGTATGTACATCTACCCATAAACGAGAAATCCTGTAACTCTCCATAAAAATTAGACACATTGTACTATCTAAAAAATTCTCTGACCCTTAAAAAATTCATAATACGAGAACTCTGTTAAACAAGCATTTTTAATATAATTACTACATGCTGTTATACTTTTCTTTATTCGTTTGGAATCAAGCTTTAAAGATATATCAAAAGTTCAGGAAAAAAAATGTTTTAAACATCAGTAATTACACTGCTTCTACTAGCAACCCTGTCTCTATAAGTGATGGGTGACAATTTTCCAGTAGTAGGACTTGCTGGATCAGAGGAACTACTAGTGGGTTTATAAGGTTGGGCATAATCATCAGAACCATAATCTAACTTTGGTTTGCTACCATAATTTACTATATCGGGCTTTTGTTGGTACGGCATGGTGTATGAAACAGAACTGGGAGTAGGACTGACAGGAATATTCGGACTACTCAGCGACTTCCTGTCGATTTCGTAACCCACATCGTTAGGATCGACCTGTTTCGACTCAAACTCGGTTTCAGGGAGTCCAACAAGGGGCTCGTGAGTGCGATAGCTCTTATCGTACATTATGCGCGGTTTAAATACGCTACTTGTCGAAGTGTCACTCAGTGGACTCTTGTTGGACTCGGTGGGACTGAAGCTTCTTGCTGCCAGCGCGGGTTTCTGGGCGTATTGCCAGGAACTATCGTCCGAGTTCATGTACTTTTGATATACCTTAAAGGCGATAAACACTATGACTAAGACTAAGGGTATGAGTACTGCAAAAATTATTCCTGAGGTTATGGCTGCGTTGCGTTGAGAATATTCTTGTTGACCTAATAGAAAGAAATTGGTTTAATGGATGTGAAATGCTATTAAACGCGTTACTTAAATCTATCCGTTTTATTATTATCATTTTTTATTAATGCTTTGACGTACGATTTTTAATCTGACCTTTCTGAAGTGAAACTTCCTTACGCGCGATGGGAGTAAAAATTCAAGGCCGCGACACACGAGCTAGAGTTACGCGAAGGTCGCCAAGCGTCACAACAATGATATCAATCTTGGAGGGTCGTAACTCGTGCTCTTTGTGAGCTAGGGGGCTGAAACTCGTAATTTCATGATATTTAGACGACCTTTCGTGCACCAGAAAATCCCATCATCAATGGCAAAAAAATCGTCCGATTTAATGGCATTGTGAGACAGGAAATTGTAGAGAGAAACAAGCCCTATAACATAGGATACAATATTTTAATGAACAGTGCTTTCCATAAAATCAATAAAATGAAAAATATACGAAATAAAATAAATGTACCTATTTCTTTCGAAAATCGACATCTATGAAAATATGAAACCTTCCTGGACACAAACGGTACATTGTGAGACAAGAAATTGTAGAGAGAAACAAGCCCTATAACATAGGATACAACATTTTAATGAACAGTGGTTTCCATAAAATCAATAAAATGAAAAATATACGAAATAATATACATGTCCTGATTTCTTTCGAAAATCGACATCTATGAAACTATGAACCCTTCCTGGACACAAACGGTACATTGTGAAACAGGAAATTGTAGAGAGAAACAAGCCCTATAACATAGGATACAACATTTTAATGAACAGTGCTTTCCATAAAATCAATAAATTGAAAAATATACGAAATAAAATAAATGCACCGATTTCTTTCGAAAATCGACATTTATGAAAATATGAACCCTTCCTGGACACAAACGGTACATTCTGAGACAGGAAATTGTAGAGAGAAACAAGCCCTATAACATAGGATACAACATTTTAATGAACAGTGCTTTCCATAAAATCAATAAAATGAAAAATATACGAAATAATATATATGTTCTGATTTCTTTCGAAAATCGACATCTATGAAACTATGAACCCTTCCTGGACACAAACGGTACATTATTTCGTGCACTAGAAAACCCCATCACCAATGGCAAAAAAATCGTCCGATTTAATGGGTCTTTGGAGCGTCGTAACTCGGACCCTATGTGAACTCAAACCAAACTCGAAAAGCCCCATCTTTTCATGATATTTTAAAGATGTTTCATGCCCTATGAAACCCCACCATCAATGAATCTATACTGAATGAACATACTCATGTAGTGGTCTGCTTATTATGCTTAAAGCAGGCCACTCACTAGGGAGCATGTTGCGCAACATGTTGGCGAACGCAGTCGCCGTCAACAAGTTTCCAAGTGTATATGATGGTCCGTCAACATGTTGCTAAGTTGCAGGCTCCCAGGACAAAACCAAAAAGCAACAACGTGAGCTGAGCATGTTGCCTAGGTGTGTGGTTCGCAGCACAAGTTGTAGACTACTAGTTAACAGTTAACCTCAAAATTTCGCGTTTTGTCAACTGAAGTTTTGCAACATGTTTCTTGAGTGTGTGGCTGGGTGATTTTTGTTGACAAACCTATTGAGAAGCATGTTGCGCAACATGCTCCCTAGTGAGTGGTTTTACAAATGTAAGCCAAACATGAAATTTTTTTAATCTTTTCAAAAACCAAGATTGGGCATCCTAATCTTTCTTCAGAGTAACATGAAGTAAAAATTACCTCTTGTAATATCATTATTTTTATCATAAATTGTATTTATATTTTTATCATAAATTATCATAAATTGGTAATGTATATTATAAAAAAAGACGTAGTTATAGTATCGTCAGAGATTCAAATCAAACTCTTCAATCAAACTATCTAGATAGCGATGACGTCTGTGGAACTCAGTTATTTCACTCAAAAACGTCAGATTATATGTATTAGAACAATGTACTTACGTAGAGCAATTTTGTATATATTACGTGAGCAAGTAATCAGACAATATGACATTATAATTATGTATGGTATTACACAATTAATCCAATTAAACAATTTTTATCATTCTGAACATTGACGTCGATAATTGTAATCATTTGTTGATGCTGATGATTCCAAATAACAGTTAGCAAAAGGCGCATCCAGAATATTAAAAATATATTTTGTTCTCCAAAGATTTAATTTTATCATTTTTCTGGTTTAACTCCAAAGCTTCCAACTCAAATTTGAGTTACACTATACCGGGTGCGTCTCAAAAGTGGCTCACCCCTATAACTTTTTTATTTTTTCAGATAAAAAACGAGATTTGGTATGTTAGTATATGACATAAATTAGGATTGATTGACGTATTAAATTGTTTTCCGTCACTTCCTGTTTCGCCGGAAATGGCTACAACTTTTGATTTTTAAATGGCACCCTCGGTATTTATTTACTTTATTCGATAAAAAATGACATTCTGAATAAAATGACATATCATATGTCAACTTTTGACATTTTTGCTTAAAACAAAATTGAATTTTAAATTTCAATCTAGAGTGCCATTGCTATGTTAAAAGCACTAATTCTTCACCAAGGAGCCTTGGAAAAAAAGATTTGATCGTCTTATGTTTTTAGTGTCTTGTCCTGGCCAGTTGGAAAATTCTCAACTCGTATTTCTAATCATAACTCAATTTTTTCAAATGGAACGAGGGTGGCTCATGTTTGGAAAAAGCATTTTTTTACGAATAATTTGATATAACACACTTGGTATTGGAACCGCAAGTTATAATTTCAAATAAACCATATGCGAAAATGTCAAAAGTTGATATATGATGTGTCATTCTATTCAGAGTGACATTTGCTATCGAATAAAGTAAAAAAATACCGGGGGTGCCATTTAAAAATCAAAAGTTGTAGTCATTTCCGGTGAAACCGGAAGTGACCGAAAACAATTAAATACGTCAATCAACTCAAATTTATGTCATATACTAACATACCAAATTTCGTTTTTGGTTTGGTTTTTAACTAAAAAAATAAAAAAGTTATAAGGGTGAGCCACTTTTGAGACGCACCCGGTATATTATGACAAGATATACCTATTTCTTCTCTAAAGACAGAAGCTGACATTTGTATGCCTTTTCTTAAACACTTTTTATACATTTTTACATTTACAAACTTTTTAATAAAATAGATTAATTACTATTAAAGTATAGTATATATCTATGAGAATACTCACGTAGACAGTAAGTGTAACCATATTCGGGCGTGTCCCATTGGCCTGTAGCTAAACACGTTCTCCTTGGATCGCCCACAAGAACGAAGTCTTGGTTACACTCGTAGGTCACTTTGGTGCCGGGAACAAACAAGAATGTGCTCTTTCTTCCGAACCTAGGCGTCTCTAAGATGCCACAAGACACCACCTGATAAAAAAATAGTTTCCAATGACATTCTTAATTAAATTACTAAAAACATGTAGAGTGTAGGAAATTGTAGAGTGCTTTCCACAAAATCAATAAAATGAAAAATATACGAAATAAAATAAATGTACTGATTTCTTTCGAAAATCGACAACTATGAAAATATGAACCCTTCCTGGGCACAAACGGTACATTGTGAGACAGGAAATTGTAGAGAGAAACAAGCCCTAAAACATAGGATACAACATTTTAATGAACAGTGCTTTCCATAAAATCAATAAAATGAAAACTATACGAAATAAAATAAATGTACCAATTCCTTTCGAAAATCGACATCTATGAAAATATGAACCCTTCCTGGACACAACGATACATTGTGAGACAGGAAATTATAGAGAGAAACAAGCCCTATAACATAGGGTGCAACATTTTAATGAACAGTGCTTTCCATAAAATCAATAAAATGAATAGTATACGATATAAAATAAATGTACCAATTTCTTTCGAAAACCGACATCTATGAAAATATGAACCCTTCCTGGACACAAACGGTACATTGTGAGACAGGAAATTGTAGAAAGAAACAAGCCCTATAACATAAGATACAACATTTTAATGAACAGTGCTTTCCATAAAATCAATAGAACGAAAAATATTCGAAATAAAATAAATGTACCGATTTCTTTCGAAAATCGACATCTATGAAACTATGAACCCTTCCTGGACACAAGCGGTACATTGTGAGACAGGAAATTATAGAGAGAAACAAGCCCTATAACATAGGATACAACATTTTAAGGAACAGTGCTTTCCATAAAATCAATAAAATGAAAAATATACGAAATAAAATAAATGTACCGATTTCTTTCGAAAATCGACGTATATGAAAATATGAACCTTTCCTGGATACAAACGGTACATTGTGAGATAGGAAATTGTAGAGAGAAACAAGCCCTATAACATAGGATACAACATTTTAATGAACAGTGCTTTCCATAAAATCAATAAAATGAAAAATATACGAAATAAAATAAATAGCGCAATTTCTTTCGAAAATCGGCATCTATGAAAATATGAACCCTTCCTGGACACAAACGGTACATTGTGAGACAGGAAATTGTAAAGAGAAACAAGCCCTATAACATAGGATACAACATTTTAATGAACAGTGCTCTCCATAAAATCAATAAAATGAAAAATATACGAAATAATATACATGTTCTGATTTCTTTCGAAAATCGACATCTATGAACCCTTCCTGGACACAAACGGTACATTGTGGACAGGAAATTGCACCTCTCAAATATTACCATATTTTTATTTAAAAAACGATCAAGTCGCGGGTACACGCTAGTAGGACATAAAGAGTAATAAATAAAATTACCTTGGTTCTAGAAACCTCCTTAAGCTGATATATCGTAGCCTTGTAGTTTTGGGTGTAGTGGGCCAGGTCTCTGTTCAGAGTCATTGCGTAATCGTAGTAACATTCGTACATCTTTGTGCTGCACACGTCGTAGGTTCGCGTAATTTGTTCGGATCTGTTTGCCGGTATAATTTCTTCTGGAGTCATAACAAACACCGGCACGAAGGAACGATTGTTGTAGTTTGAGGAAGTCAAGCCATTTTCTCGAAGGAATAGTGCTCTGCCTATAATAAAATACAAATATTTATTTACCTCATAAATCCGGTAAATCCACTTTTACCAAAGACTTTTACAGCATGAGTAAGATGTTTACTGATGATGCGTCTTTTATATTTTGCATGTACAGGGTGGTCGAAATTGGTCTGTTTTGACAGAGAAAACCTATTTCCTGACTAGATAGAGCAAAACCGACATAGATGTCATAGACTCGATTTCTGAGACACGTTTAATGGCGTAAACCGCCTGTTGATACTTTCACTGCCAACTGAGATACGGCGTCCTTTTGAATTTTTTACCATTTAGAAAATTGCCCATAACTTTTGTATTTCGCGGAATAATAACATTCTGTAAAAACGTTCTTAACGTACTTTGTTAAGAACAATCCAGTGGCGTAGTCAGTGTTTTTCTATACATGCTCTTTTTGTCAGAAATAATAAAAAATATAATTTTTTAAATGGACATCATAGTTGGCTATGAACTTAAAAAAATTCTGGCGTTTAACCCTTTCCAACGATATAAAGTTATGTGTATTTATTTCTAAGAATGGGAGAAATATTAGGTTTTTTACCTTTGTATCGAAGCGGGCCTTGATTTTGTGTTGACCTAGTTGCCTAATTATTATTTTTTATCATAATTTAATATTCTATATCATTATTTATCTGCATAATTAAAAAAATTTCAAAAGGTAAATCAACATTCTGTATTAGTATTACCAATTACAATTAAAACGCCAGGGTTACAACTGAACTATTAAATGGAGAATTTAGAGAGAATTGGGTTGGAATAAGGGGCCCATATCTTGGCCTGCTAGGTTCTGTGATTTAACTTCTTTCGACATTTTTATGGGGGAAATTAAAATACCTTATATATAAGGGAAGAACCATTGGGACGACAGAAGGAATTGCAGAAGGCTACTAGGTAAGCTTTTGGAGTTATTAAACTAGTTCGCCTAATAAATCGTTGTAACTCTGTGCGCAAAAGATGTTTATTGTGTATTCAACAAGGAGATGCTCAATTTGAACATCTTTGATTTTTTAAGAGAGAGAACTATATTCGTCACTCAAAAAATACGTTTTTTAGGTTTGTTCTTTGTTTATTGTATCGATTTCAGTTGTAATTACTAATACTAATAATTACTATTACTAATAATAATAGAATGTTAATTTACCTTTTGAAAAGTCTTTAATTATGCAGATAAATAATAATAAAGAATATTAAATTGTGATAAAAAATAATTGGGCAAATAGGTCAACTCAAAATCAAAGCCCGCTTCGATATAAAGATAAAAACCCTAATATTTCTCTCATTCTTAGAAATAGATACACATAAACTATCGAAATATATCTACTCATATCTTAGAATTATATAAAGTGGTCTGAAAGGAAGCCCAAAATGCAATAATATACAGGGTGTCCCGTTTAAAAAAAATCATCCCAATTCACTCACACTTTTTTGAGCCACCCTATAGAAGTTAAAATATTTTCCTGAAATACATCCTAGAACATACTTTAGATTTGCACTTACACAAAATTTCCAAGTTTTTTATTCTAGGAGTTACAGATTCCCGACGCACTTAAATAATAAATTATTTTGTTCATACTTCTATTTTTCCGAATTTTATACCTACTTTTAGGTTTATTGAATATCAAAAAATTATACGGAAAATACAAAAGAATGTAGTTACCTTTCTGTGAATCTAATACATCATCTATCATCCATTTTGATCCAAAATCGGTGTATACTCTCTGCATGTCGTTGATATTTGAAACTACGCTTACTCTAGAGCCATCGGGTAAAGTAAAATCGTCTTCTTTATTAAAACTCCAATTTCCAAGTAGACCGGCGGTTTTGTTAATGAATGACCATGGCAGATATACTCTGGCTGTCATATAACCTACAGAAAACAAAAAAAAAAACAAGTTATCAACGTGCAAACTATTTCTAACAAAAACAAATATAGAAATTTGTGACGCTCACTAACTCTACTCAAAACGAAATAAATTTTTAAGGATTTACAGTAGGTATTTTGTTAAAAAGGTCATTTGTGTAGCACAAATTTGCTTACTTTTATACAGGGTGTCAAAAAAATAGTGTGTCTAACTTAGGTGGGTGATTCGACAAAATAATAAAGAAAAGAAAATAAAACAAAAAGTTCCTATGAACATATGCCCTAAAATGCTTCCTGAAGAAGTTACAGCTCTCGAAAGGTTAAATAAAAATAATATATTTTGTTTATTTTAAGAACATTGGTAATACCTAAAAATTATTGGCCTCAACCTTGGGGCATCAGGGGCACCCCATTGTATTTACCCCTTAATTCTGCATGCGGGGCTCTGTGGAAGTGAACCGACTACTACCCTAGCGACTCGTGGGAACACTATGAGATCTAGTATTAAAAACATCACCGGTGAAGCTGTGGGGAAGCCCCCTAGCGGCACTGGGAACATTACAAATGAAAGTTCCAAGGGACTAAATCCAAAGGAAACTACAGGGGTGGGGGGGCGGCTGACACTTGCTTGGGATCATCCTCCACAAGTGGCCCACAAGCTACCACCTTCTCCAGCAAGGGTGGGGGGCCTACCTCTAGACCCAATAAGCGACATAAGCTACCGTTTCGTCTACCCGGCCTGGGTCAACCAGACGGGCTAGACGATCCTCTGTGAGTAGGTCTTAGCGGAGCAGAAGCACGGAGATACCTCCGACTGCTCCACGAAGGACTTGCTCCAGAGAAAGCAAAAGCGAAAACACTCCTCCGAAAAGGGGAGAGTAAAGAAACCAAGAAACAACCCGACTCATCTCCATCAAAGGGCAAGAGAGAGGGCGAGAACCTCTCACCTCTTCTCCGGCAGGTAGAGAAAAAAGTCAGGATGGAAAGCCGTCCAACACCGGGAGGCAAGCAGGGTCGTAGCACCAGTTTTGCCGCTATTCCTGGACAAGTGAAAATGGCGGTGCTGCCAAAGGATTTCCTAGAGGTTGCTCTGACCACCGACCAGCAAACGTCTCTAGAAGAGGCTATACTGAACGAAGTTGTGGCGATCGGATCGCAACACAACGGTCTACAAAATGAGGGTCAGCTGCGTTTTGCGGGGATACACTTTCGGGTGGGCATAATCCTCATAGATTGTGTATCTCAAGAATCGGCGAATTGGTTGGTGGAAATCGCACTTTGATATTTGTTTTATTAAATAATTGTTATGACTTATTTATTTTAACAATTTTAATAACTAAATATACACAACAGTGTATCATTATTATTAAATATGTTTCAATTTTTCACAAACTGTTCTGTTCCAAGTTAAAATAAAATAGAAAAGTTCATATGAGAAATTATAAAAATTTATATCGACATTCGAAACAAAAGGATGTAAATGTAAATACACAATTTTTTTTTAAACGTCACAAAAGTATTAATTTTAACGCCTACGCATAAAAGTAAAGCACTTTTACGCCTATAAGCATAAATGAACGAAAATATATTATTAAACTGACATAAAGTGTCAAATTTAAGGAACGTAAGCATAGTTTCTCGATATATAAAATTACTTACAAGGTATTAATTTTAAATATTTTTATATTATTTGGAACGTAGGGTCTTTCTGCCGAGGAGCAAGGGGAAAGACACAACCTATCTGCTGAGTGTTATCCAAGGTCAGAACTTGAATGTAAGGACATCGAGTTAGCGAGTAATCAACTCGAGGGAGGAGGATCATGGTCAGGTCCTCACAATAGGAATTGACCTCAAAGCCAAGGAGGCAATAGAGAAAGAGGGACATATCCTCTATTATAGATACGGGACAACACCAGCCTCCACCTCACGGGTTCCTCAACCGGAAGCAAGCTCCTCGACTGTGAAGCGGCACGGAGGGCCAAACTCCAAACGTGGAAGGGTGTGTACCCTCGGAGGAGGAACTGTTGTCAGAGGAGGATGGGAAATACCCTGTCCCATCTACAACAGGGGTATGATGGGTTATAGATTGTGTGATGACTCAAGGAAGGGGGCACAATAGATCTTTAAGATCGCAGTGATTAACCCTCCCTCTTACTCATTCTACATTCTACATTCTTACAATACCTGAAAATTGCACATTTTAATGTCAAAGCGAAGGGCGATTGTAAAAAATTCCGTAACAGCCCTGAAAGGGTACTTTCCATTGTGGTAGAGAGTACTACTGGTGGTACTTCTTTTATCCTTATAGGCACAGTAATTTCAACAAATGACATAAAAAGCTAGAACTTTTTACGTGCGCTTCATTTAGTTCGAAAAGGTGAACGGTTTTCAAAACTAATTTTCTACGTCTGGACATGTAAAAAATGTAAAAAATTAGTTGGTGTAGAAAACTAATTTTCTACGTGTAGAAAATCTGGTAGAAAATATAACATTTTCTCCCTACCCAACCCTGCCCTAAAGTAAACTGACTTTAATTTTTTTAAGCAAAAACTATGCGTCGCGTCGGAAGAAAAAATCAAGACTTAAAAGTTTTTAAGAATCGATCGGGGATTTTGAAAATAATCTTTTTATTTTAAGAGAAATTAGTAGCGTACCAATTTTTTCTTTAAAAATATTCAATGTAAAACCCGTATGGATGGCACTGGTTGAAATAAATAAAATTGTTTGTACATCAAAAAAAGTATGTTGAAAAATAGAAGACGTGTATCAAGTTTTATAAAGATATCTATAATAAAGGCAGAGATATTATGAAAAAAAGGTTTTTTTAGAAAATTTTACCACCCTGTATCTCAGAAATTAAGATGTTTAGAACATACATTCATATGAAGTTTTTCTCTTAGAATAGGTCCAGAAATCACCCCCTTAAATATTAGCATGTCAGAAGAATCACCCTGTATAAAATAGTACCTTGATTGTCCAAGACCTCCACTCCAACTCCATTGTCAAACATCATAATCACTTCAGACTGATTCAAAATGTAGGTCGGAGTATAAACGGTCACACCAGGAAAATGTTGGAATTTTAAGGACGGTCTGTCAAAGTAAACCCTTTTTCCATCTGTTATAACATCTAGTCTGTATCTCCATCTATAAATATACATAAATAAATTGCATTGATATTAAATAAAAGTAAAAAGATTATGAAAAAATATATAATTCGATAACTACCTTGCGTATTCTGGTCTTCTCCTAACTTCTACCACAGTAGAAGAATTGCCTCTTGCTACTACAGATGTCAGTTGAGTCGCTCTAACTTCACCATATAGGTTAGGATCCATCTGTTCAAATCGGCCCTGAACTTCAATGTTATCTAGTCTGGCGTTGGACTTTATCAAAACAAATTCTCCTTTTCCATTAAACGTGTACTCCAAATCGTCGAAGGTTACAATGTGGGGATCACCATAAACACCAGCAACGCCTTGTTAAAGAAGAAAATTATTCCTTTAGCCAATTTATCAGTCCTAATATGTTTTAGAGTTACTTAAACTTATTATTAGTGATGGCAAAACGGATTAATTTCAATAATCGAGTACCCGACTTTCAAGGAATTTCAATAATCGAGCGATCGCTTGAGCAAAATTTCGCTCGTATTAAAAATACGGTTTTTCGCCCGTCGCTTTTCGCTTGTACTTGCAACTCGTAACGCCAAGCAGTAAGTTGCGTGCGCAGAGAACATAATATTCTTTCGGTGGTGAATGGCAAGTAGCAAGCGACGAGCGACGAGTAATCGCTTAATTCACTTCATATTCAATTTACTTTGAAGTCTTGTCGGTGTAGGTCGAAACATTTTGTAACGCAACGGATAATGTCGTATAAATTTGCTACCTGCAATGTATGTATAAAATTCGCTCGGCTTTGTATCGAGTATGTCATATTAAAATCTGATTTCAATTTATTTCAATCTAGGATCGCTTGCGTTCGTCGCTCGTAACTCGTCACTTACATCGCTCGTTCATAATCGAGCGATGTCGGTTATTTCAATAACGAGTACTCCCGTCACTACTTATTATAACCCCATGCAGACTAATTACGTCATTCGAGACAATGCAAAAACTTGAAAAATCTGATTTTAAAAATAGAATGTGTATTTCATATACCGTTAAAGTGTGAAAAGTTAGAGAAAACTAATAGAGAAAAGCAATCATTGTCCTCTACAATTAAAGAACACTAAAAGGGCATCTTGTTAGCTGATAACATCCAAATTAAGCGGATTATACAGGGTGTTTCAAAAACATGTGCCATCCCTCGTGGGGAGATTAAAATTGCTGTAGGTTGGACTAATAGTAATAATAACTAATGGTAACAATATTTAATAAGAAATTAGTAAAAATACATAATTTAATAATTTTATTTTTATTTTGATTTTATTAATTGTGATTAATAAAATTGCGTTTATCTCATCAAGTAGGCTGAATTAGACAAAATATCAAGAAATAACTTTTAATTGGTATTAAACGCCCCAAATAATTTTGATATCAAAAGAAAAAAGTCAGTGGCGCACATGTTTTTTTTTTAATATTCCAGTGATAACCCATATGCACGTCCCTGATAAATTCATCGACACTTTTTTAGCATTAAAATATGTAGCACTTATAGTAACTTTTACCCGCGAAATTTCATTCGAATCACTAAAAGTACTTGGAAAAAAATTATAATAAATCGAAAGATTATTAAGGCTTAACACCCTGTAGCTACGAAACAAAGCAGAATCGGACCTATGTTGATAAATCTTATTTTTATGTGAGGAATCTCCCCACGAGAGATGGCAAATGTTTTTTGAAACACCCTGTATGTGGAATAACCTATAGGTACATCAGAGTACATCATTCTGTGAACAGAAAAAAATGCTCAACATATTTATCAAAAAATTACCTGGTGCTTGATATGCTACGCAATCCTGAGTAGGTCTCCTTTCAAATCTCAATGTTTCGCATCCCACGGCTTGTTCATCTTGCCATAAACAGCACAGGTACTTGGGAACAACATCGTTAAACCATTGAGATAGCGTGGGTACCTTGGTTGCTTCTTGGTAAGGCATGAGACCTAAATTGTGGCAACGCCTTGGACTTGAACCCCACTGCTGATCGTAAGAAAGCATAAGGTAGTGGTTTTTGTCGTAGCAACATTGCTGCTCAGAACCTTCCAATCTACGATTAAATATTAAGCCATTATTAGAAATACTGTTTGTAACTTTTTTTGAAAATTTCTGGAAATATTACAATTTAAAACAAAATAAATCACAAGCATAATATAGTAGAATAACAATGAAAATTTTACGCAAACCGACAGACATTTGATTGTTATTTACACTATCAGTGTGAATGTTCTTCATCTAATCAAACGTCATCTGTTCAACAGAAACGGTTTTATCATAATTTTTTCCAAGAAAAATTTATGACTAATTTAAAAAAATTAAAAGTTGCCAAATTTATCATTTCAGTCATATAACAACTACCTACTCAACATGTTTATTTTTTGTCAGTACTGGCATGTACTGATTATTTCCATTTTAAATATCTTGCTCGTTCGGTTGCTCGTAGCGTAGTCAAGATACATTTTTTTCACTCAGTAGTTTTATACAGGTACGGACGAAAAATTATTACTTTTCAAAACAGTTAAAACACTTTGTTAAAACACATGTAAGTGGCGCCCCCTACAAATAGGAGTCATATTGACATCAAAATCAAATTTCTTATGTAAAAAAACTCCAAATTTCATACAAATATTGACGTTACTTCAGAAATTATTTGTAAAAAATCGAAATAAACATGAAACTTCTACACCCTGTATCTCCGAAACCAAGCATTTTCGGACATACATTTATACGAGCTTTTTTGCTTATTTTTATCTGCAGAATATGCTGCCGAAGATTCCGGAATAACAGTTCGGACCACCCTGTATAATTATTCAAACACAAACTATGTATTATAACTTACGTTGGTGATCCAGTTTTAACGCAATGCACAGCTTGGTTGTTGTAATAGCAAGTGGGGTTGGAATCTTTGTCACAATCCCAATCAGGCATGTATTTGCCTTTGTCTGCTAGGGCTTGTTCTAAAGTACACGGACACTGGGGTAGTTCGTGTGCGAAGTTCTTCAAGTATCTGTCAGTTCGCAGCCAATCGTTGCACAAATATTCTGGCCAGTTTGTTCCGTAAAGTCTTTCCCATTGCCAGCCGAAGTACCAACCAAGAGGGATGGGTCTAAATTAGAATTTTAAAAAGAAACATATAAGGTAACCATAATACCATCCGATAGAAAAAAAGTAACGGCGTCAGAGATGGCTTGGAAATGAAGATCGCTGTCGAACGAGCCTCATTTCCAACTAAGTTGAAGTATGCACAGGGTGGCGCCTCTGATGCGCCGCAGAAGCTCCAAGGAGAAGCAAATGAAATTTTGGCAGCATATATAGGTTAACTGAAAACATTTTTTAAAAATATATAGAATTGTACAGGGTGTCCCCAAAGAAAGTAACACATCAAAGTTGTGTTTTTACTAATGGAATACCCAAAATATTAGTTAATTTTCGGATTCTAGGAAAAAAATAAAGATGAGTTTTGTTAAAGAAGAATAAACATAAAATCTAAGGATTCTGACATATTTCACATTTTGTGAAAATGAAGAATAAATTTTAAATTTCGATAACAGCTACCTAAATTTTAGTTGACTTTGTATAGCCTGATATTTAATTACAGTAACCATGTATGTTAAACCAAATTGAAATTTGAGCCAAAAAGTTATACAGGGTGAAACCAAATTAATATGGAACATTAGTCACTTTTAAAAGCAAGTTACTCCTTTATTTTAAATGGAACATTCAGTATATTTTTCCGGTGTTCAATGAAGAATTTATATATCTTCAAAATATTATTAAAGTTGCCTACCCCTCAGACAAAGCCTTTCCTAGATATTTTAATTTTTATGATTTTGCGTCATTAGATCTTAATTATTTGAATAAATCTAGGTGGCTGTGTGATATACCTTTTGTTAATTTAACAAAAATTAAAGATTGTAGAGTAAAATACTCAAGGGTAATAAAAAGATACACGTTTAAAACATATTTTAATTATTACAGAAATATAACTAGATATAAACCTATAATTATGCGACAAAAATTAGCTAGATGAAATGCTTACTTTTCTGTTAACTGCATAAAATGATTGTCTTTTCAAAAGCATCTTTTCATTTTAAAAGGCATATGTGGAGTTCTACCTCGAAAAGCAGCTGCAATAATTTCTCTCATGTTGTCGACAGTAGTTGGTCGAGTTTTTGCATATGCATTCACCAACTAATAAGATCATATCAGTTCTCTCTGATGTAGGATAAGTTTGCATTTTCGGCAAATTTCTGAGAAATGTTTTTGTTTTAACTAACACAAAATGATAACTAGTTATTAAAGTTGGACTAGTTAGACAACTATGTTGAAGTAACGTCAGACATATCACAACCACCTAGATTTTATCAAATAATAAAGATCTACTCAGATCAAATCATGTAAATGAAAATATCTAGGAAAATCTTTGTTTGAGGGGTAGGCAACTTTAATAGTATTTTGAAGAGATATGAATTCTCCATTGAATATCGGAATAATATACTGGGTGTTCCATTTAAAATAAGAGAGTAACATGCTTTTAAAGGTGACCATTGTCAATATTAATTTTGTCTCACCCTGTATAACTTTTTGGATCAAGTTTTAATTTGATTTAAAGTACAATAGTTAATTTAACTATATACTTATTAGGCTATACAGAATAAATTCCAGTTTAGATAAATTGTAATTTAAAAATTGTTCTTTATTTCTAGAAAATGTTAAATATGTCAAAAACCTTACATTTTCGTCATATACTTCTCTTATAAAACTCACCTTTGTTTTTCTCCCAGAATCCGAAAATCAATTAATATATAGGGTGTTCCATTACAAAAAACACAACTTTGATGTTACTTTTTTTGGGGACGCCCTGTAGAACTCTCTATATTTTTAAAAAGTGCTCTGAATTAACCTACATATGCTCCGAAAATTTCATTTCAATATAAACTCCCGTTCTCCTTGGAGCCTCCGCGGCGTATGAGAGGCGTCACCCTGTATATATTTATTATTTATAAAATATCTGGTAGAATTTCCTTCGACTTTTATACTGTATGATATAGTATCTATACAGTGTCAAGGTGAATATCATCTGCCGTCACTTTGAAATCAACTTGACGCGTTTTTATTATTATACAGTATATTATACATACAGGGTGGCGCAACTCATTCGCCTCGGTTGATTATACGAAAACGGAAAGATGTAGAAACAAAATATTTTATGGATATATGTGGGGAGACAATGTGCACAATTTAAAATTATTTTGAAATATTCAGGATGTTCCAGAACTAAGATCCATATCAAAGTTATATTTTTTCTTATGGAACACCCAGTATTTTATTTCGTTTTTGGATTCTTGGGTCCAAAAAAAGGCATTTATTATAAAGGTTAAATATGTTTAAAATCTTTAGTTTTTGAGATATTTAAAGATATTTAAATTTGCAGACTACAATAGAATAGACTATTAACACCCTGTACATTACTTTTCTCAGAATTAATTCTTATGCTGAGTTTAAAGGTAGAAAAATAAACTGAAAATTAAAACTGAACTTTCCTGAAAAATGGTATTGGTTCCTTAAATGTATACAGGGCTATCAAAAGTTGCTGATCTATTTTAAGGATATATTTTAAATAAAAACTTAGTTATTTCAAATACAACACCCTGTATTTTTTTAAATAAATCTAAGCAGATTCAAATGCTCTTTCAAACTATATTAGAGTTTCCTATACCTAGATCAGATTTTGAAGCGATTTTTAAATAAAATTACAATCAAGATGGCTGGTGTCGCCATGGCAATTTTCTAGTGACAGTTAGTAACTATTTTCAAAGTCGACATTATTTTATGGGCATTATTATTTATAATTTATAACAGTTTACTTAAATTTACCTACAATAGTTTAATAAGTAAGTATTCATTATTTTATCAAGAAAAATAAAGCAGTATCTGTTGACGGAATGAATAGATATGTTACTAGTGATATTATTTTGTGAGGAAAATTGCTTCTTGGCCTCAAGGGCTTATGATCAAAGATATCCAAATAGGAATCTTCCTGATAAGCGTTTCTTTGAAAAACTTCTTGTCCTATTTCGCAGAGCTGGTAGTGTGGTTTATAAAAAACCTATTAGGCAGAAACCTGTCGTTGGAAGTGAATAAAATGAGTTTGCCGTAATTGGCTATTTTATAGAAAATCCGTATATCTACAAGTCATAGTAAAATAATTCAAAGAACTACTTCTTCGTTTTTCTTGATAGAATAATATACACATAATTAATAAATATTATTTATTAAACTATTGTAGGTAAATTAAATAAAAGTAAAATTGGTAAAAATTTAAATAAGTCCATAAACTAATTTTGATTTTCAAAATAGCTACTAATTGTCACTAGAAACTTGCCATGACAACACTAGCCATCTTGATGACAATTTTATTGAAAAATCGCTTTTTATTCAAAATCTGAGCCAGATAGGTATAGGAAACCCTAATATAATTTGAAAGAGCATTTAAATCTGCTTCGACTTATTTAAAAAAATACATAGTGTTGCATTTGAAATAACGAAGTTTTTATGTAAAATAAATATTTAAAATAGACCAGTAATTTTTGATACCCCTGTATACATTTAAGGAAGGAATGACATTTTTCTGTAAAGTTTATTTCTCTACCTTTAAACTCAGCACAAGAACTAATTCTGAAAAGTAATGTACAGGGTGTTAATAATCTATTCTATTGTAGCATGCAAATTTAAATATCTTTAAATATCTCAAAAACCAAAGGTTTTAAACATATTTAACCCTTATAATAAATACCTTTTTTGGGTCCAATAATCCAAAAATTAAATAAAATACCGGGTGTTCCATAAGAAAAAATATAACTTTGGTATGGAACTTAGTTCTGAAACACCCTGTACATTTCAAAATAATTTTAAATTGTGCACATTACCTCTTCACATATACCCATAAAATATTTTGTTTCTACAGCTTTCCGTTTTCATATAATCAACCGAGGCGAATGAGGTGCGCCACCCTGTATATTTGATACCAATTAAACTTTTAGTTACGTAATCGAGAGCGATTTTAAATTCATTGTTGCCAACCATGGATATTTTCCACGCCGGGCTGACTAACAGGAATTTAAATTTTGCGCTGGGGATTCACGTGGTAGCTCTACTGTAAAAAATGTCAAGTTGCCACATTTATTTATTTATTTTCCGACATTCTGTCATTCGTTTTGACACTTTAGTTCTATATTACGAGTTTTTAGTTTAAATAAATACTGTTATGGTATATATGATACTTCAAGCTTAAAAATGTTTATTACTAAACCTTGCAGTCAAATATTATTGTTTTTAGAACCTCTTTTAGTGCGAATTGTACAAGATTACTTAATAGCCGTAAGAAACTCATCGCAACTTTATTAGAATATTTTGAACGGCAAAGCGGTAGCAATGACCCTTTACGTTCCTTAAGCGCTGTTAAGAAGGCGAGTTTTGTTGATGTATATAATAACTGTTTATATATTTATATTTAGTTTATTTTTGTTTCCTAAAATATTTTGATTAAAAGAAAATATGCAAAGGTAGGCAACGCTGTGCCGGTCAAGCTTAATCACGTGACTAAAAGTTTATTTGATATGAACTATTATAGACTTACCTACTCCATACTACTGGATTTATTTCTACCGATTGTGCAGCGCTGTTATAATCAGACTGTACTGGGATAGTATCTGTCAAATTTATTTGAATGAAACCGAACTTGATGTCTGTTAGGAAAGTGTTTTCTCTATTTCTATATTGTGATGGCACAATGGTATACTCTCCTGTATTCTGGACGTTGCTTGCAATATCTAAAATTAGTAAAATTTCATAATAGTATATTTGGTATACTTTGTTTATTCTGGTAGGTAAAAATAACATATGACATTAAATGTTTGTCAAAAGTGTATACTTTCTGACTAAACCAAATATAATAAGTATGTTTGAATGAGAATATATTTTTTTTGCATTTAATTCCAATTTACCTGCGTAAATCATAATAAGACTGGTTAAACTATTTTAATACATCTATTATAATAATAATTGTAATGTAGATAAGTTTCACGTATAGTTTTTCTGATAATATGATAATAACAATACTATGCTCATAAAAAATATTAATTATAAATTTATTAATAATTGATTTTAAAGATTACCTGTAATATACAAAAATGCAGGACGAATAGTTGTTTCTCTGTAACCCCATAATGATATCCTAATATTTGCGTTATCGTTGGTAGTTAAATTGTACTTTTCCCATGTTATTTTGATTTCTGCAGGTGATTTGTCATGGACCTTCATATCTTTGAAGTAAATTTTCTGGGCTGCACTAGCAGGATTTTCTATAAAAATACATTATTAGAAATCATTTTGTTAGAAATATTTATTAATAATCAATTTAAATATGAAGACTAAAAAATTACATTTGTTACAACATTTACAAAAAATTAAGTTTTGATTTTTTTTTTTAATTCTTTTATTGTTGATTGGTTCATTTGAAATTTGCTTAAGATTGAGCAATATTCATAAAAATCAACTATAAAATCAAGTACTTTTATGAGTACCTAATTCTCTTTAGCACAAAGTACTAGAAATGTTTAGAAAGCATCGTTGTGGGTGATATGATATCCCCAATCAAGGTATCACTTACCAACATAGTATCTCCCTTTCCATTTATAAGTTCCAGGTCAATAGCAATTTCCAGCCTAACGTAACCTTCTACCATTAAAGGTGGCTGAATGCAAATAGCTCTGTTTCTACTGACTACTACACCATAAACCACGTCAGCCACATCAAACTTGCAAAGAACCTGATCGGAAGGATTGAAACATGGTCCAGTGATGTTGACTACAGTTCCTCCCAACATGTTTCCAGACTCGGGAGCAAACATTAGAGGTAAATTTGCTCCATCTAGAAAATGAATAATGTACAAATACCTTTCATAGATGTGCCTATTATTGATTAGTGATGTAACGAATATCAAATTTTTAAACATTCGAATACGAATGCAGATGCGAATATTCAAAAATGTGCGAATATTCGCAAATGATTCACAAATGATGAACAAATAAATACAAGGTGAGTCTTAAATAAGTAGGTACAAATGTAATATTTTCAGGGCCCCGATAAAAGAAATATACAGACCGGACCACGGTAGTAGTAACATAGGCAGAACCGGACGAATTAGCGTATACCCGTCCGCCGGATAAAAAGCAGGCGAAAAAATGCGATAAAATAAAAATAGGTAGATATGTGATAAAAATGTTACAGAATTTGTATTTACAAATTCGTGTTTTAATAGCCAAAACGAATACATAGATTCTCGCTACAGCTCTCGTGTAAAATTTATTTTTTAAGTAAAATAATGGATGTTTACGAAGTTCGTGAGAAAATTCAAATTGTAAATTGTAAAATGGTATTTCCAAAACAGGTCTTATCGGGATATACAAACAATTTTTCCACAAACTTTTGTAAACAGACCAATTCCATCTTTACCTACTATATCTATATACACGATCGAGAATAAACAGTAAACGATAGTGTGTTTCGAATACGGGGTCGGTTCAAAATTTAATGTTCCCTTACATTTAATTTACTGGGAGGGACCCATAACACGGATGGCGTCTTCAAGGAACGATCAAATGAGATGTTCACACTGTGAAAAGACTGTCAGAGTGAATTCACCTTCAATTTCATGCTCTTCATGTCTATCATGGTTTCATAAGGGTTGTTCGGGTCTCACCAATCCCGAATTCAACAAACAAGCATCATTGTGGAATAAATCAAAGGCGACCACTTGGACATGCCAACCCTGCATGGACGAAACACTTCTACAATCTGGTAGAAGAACAAACACGAAAACAAAATCTCGTCGTTCCATCGGCCCTGGGGGCTGCTCTTCCCGAGGATGTTCCTGAGAACGACCAAATTTCACTTCGGGATATTATGAACAAATTATTACAGATTGAATCTCAATATTCGGATCTCCTTTCCAAATATAACGAACAAATTAAAATAAACGCTGAACTCAATACAGAAATCGCAGAAATCAAATGTCAACTTTCCGCTTGTAACGGTCCTGCTGCCACGTCCTCGGCTTCGATGGCAACAGATGATTTGTTGAGAGAACTTCACGACCGGGGAAAAGAGAAGAGGAACTTTATCATATTTGGACAACCAGATTCTAACTCTGAATCCATAAGCGATCAAGACAAAGTTACTGCACTGAATGTATTGAATTCTACACTACCAAATAACAGCGTTGATCCAGTCAGCATCAGGACCTTTCGTCTTGGAAAATTTGCCCAGAATAAATCACGCCCTATAAAGGTGATTTGTGGTTCTCAAATTTCTCAGAGAGTACTCTCAAATTCTAAGATTCTGAGGAACACACCAAACTTATCCAGTCTATCAATCAGCTCCGACAAGACACCCAAGCAACTCCAAGAATACAGAGAAACTAAACAACGCCTCATTGATAGACTAGCAGCCGGAGAATCCAATCTAAAATTAAATATGTTAATGGCAGTCCAAGGATCGTTAGTGTGGACGTGAATCATTTAAACTTCCAGGGAACGCAAATAATCAGGTCCGGCTTAAACATCGCCTACCAAAATGTTCGTGGGTTGAACACTAAGACTCATGAATTCTACAAGTCTATATCTGTGTGAACACCACATTATAGCAATTTCTGAAACCTGGTTGCAGTCTGGTCTGAATGATGCTGAGCTTATTGACACCAACTACAATTTGTATCGTAAGGATCGCAATCTGGAAGTCTTGAATGTTACCAGAGGCGGTGGAGTTTTGCTGGCAGTCAGAAGTTATCTCAATTCGACCGTATTGGACCTGTCCATTTTTGAAGATGCGCTGCCGGCTCTCGACATTGTTGGGGTGAGTGTTGCGGGTGATGGGGGTGTTCTGTATATGTTTGCAGTTTACTTTCAGCCTAACACTTCAGTTGAGCATTTTCGTGTATTTTTTGATGTTTTTGAGTCCTTAACATTTCTCTATGGACGCGACATAATCTTATTAGGCGATTTCAATATTCATTTTTCAGATTCACCTACTGAAACTTGTCAAAAACTTCAGATTTTAAACGATTTTCTCGCTTTTTTTGATTTTAAGCAATGTAATAGAATTCAAAATCAAAACAATACTATTCTTGACCTAGTTATTACTAACTTGCCTTCAGAAGTCCTTACCACTTTTCCATTTGTCAAGGAAGATGGTTATCATCCAACACTACTAATAATTCCTGATTTGCCGATGAAACCCCATTCAAACTTTCCCTCTACTGTTCCGACAAAAAACTATAACTTCAGTAAAGCCAACTACCCGCATCTTTATAATCTTATCCTTACCACTAACTGGGACTTTTTAGAAGGCATGGAAAACGTTAACGCAGCAGTCGAGGCTTTCTATAATAGACTGTATGAACTCTTTGACCAATCCATCCCACTCTACAAACAGTATAAAAATAACAAAAAGTGTTCCTACCCATCATGGTATACATCCGAAATCATCAGTAACATTAAGGAGAAATCTAGAATCTTTAAGAGATGGAAAATCAATCGATCTCCGGAATCCTATGGGGCTTTTAAAACTCTTAGAGCAGTGATTAAGCAACAACTTGATAGGCTTATAAAACGTATATAATCGCTGCTCAGGACTCACTACGAGCTGAACCCAGAGAATTCTGGAAATATATTCAGCAGAAACAGAATAGATCTCGTATTCCTGGCACTCTTAGAAACAGTGATAATACTCCTCTTGACAATCCCACTGACATTGTAAATTTTTTGCCAATTTTTTTCCAAGGTGTTTATATTGTGTCAAGCTGGCAATGTCTCGTATGAATGTGGTAATAGTATTTCTTTGGAGACATTTGACACCGAAGATGTGTTGAAGGCCTTAAAGTTCACTAAAAATAGAAAAACGGCTGGCCCAGATAAAATACCTTCCTTTCTTATAAGGGATTGCGCTTTTGTTCTGGCTGAACCATTAACTAGACTTTTTAACCTTTCTATCTCAACACAAACATTTCCTAGTGTTTGGAATCAAGCCAAGATTTGTCCAATTTTTAAAACGGGCAACAGAGATATCATTGAGAATTATCGTCCGGTCTCAATTCTATCCAACATTGCAAAGGCCTTCGAGATGTGTATACATAATAAACTATTTTTCAAAATTAAAAATTTGATAACACCATCTCAACATGGCTTTTTTCCAGGGCGATCAACTGTGACAAAGTTAACATGCTTTCTTGAATATACATATAACTCTATCGATGAAGGTTATCAGGTTGATGCTGTTTACACAGACTTCTCGAAGGCCTTTGATAAGATGAACCATGGGATTATGGCAGAGAAATTGTCACAAATGGGATTTGATAATAAATTAATAAAGTTCTTTTCCTCATATGTACATCAACGCAAGCAATATGTTGAATATAATGGTCACAGATCGTGTCCCTTTATAGCAACTAGCGGTGCACAGCAGGGTAGCTGTTTGGCACCACTGATATTTTCAATATACATAACGATATAGTGACCCAATTAAAGAGCTGTTCGCTTTTATTTGCAGATGATCTGAAGATTTTTAGTGTCGTCCGGTGTAAGGATGATTGCATCCGTCTGCAGGCCGATCTTGATATTATCTCTAATTGGTGCGTGGAAAATCGACTTGCTTTAAACACCTCTAAATGTAAAAAAGTGTCCTATTCTCTGAAACGTATTGAACTTGACCACCCCTATACCATAAATAGCGCAATCCTGGAAAATTGTGAGCATGTTAAGGACTTAGCTGTTTACTTGGATAAGAAACTGACTTTTAACATACATATTGATGAAGTATTCCGTGGCGCTCTTAAATCTTTAGGATTTCTCCTGAGATCCACAGAAGGTTTCAATAGTCCATTATGTCTAACGGCATTATACATGAGCCTTGTGAAATCAAAAATCAATTATGCCTCTCAAATTTGGTCACCAATTCACCAGGTCCATATACGGAGATTAGAAAACGTTCAGCGTAAATTCCTAAAATATCTCTCGTTCAAACTGGATGGTGTTTTCCCAGAGCTGGTTATAACCACTTACGGCTGTTGCAAAGGTCTGATCTTTTATCTATTGAGCAAAGTCATAGACTTCACTCTTTATCTTTCCTTTATAAACTTTGTAACGGTCATGCGGACTGCGCTTCGCTATTAGCTCGGCTGAACTTTTCAGCTCCGCTCGTCCGTACTAGAAATCAAAACACGTTCTACCTGTCAAACGTCAGGACTTGTTTAGCCGGTAAGGCACCCCACTCCCGGGCCTGTACTGATTTCAATGATGTTGAGAGCATGGCATCTGTTGATATATTTGGCGACTCGCTGCGTCAATTCAGGAATGTTTTGGTTCGGCAAATGAAGAATCCTAGAATTTTTTGATATTTTTTATTGTAGTTCGTTAGAATTGGAGTTTTACTTTCACCTTTAAATTTATACTAGGTGTTATATTTTTTAAGATTACATATAGATTTGTTATATTTTGCATTGTATTTTTATTGTTGATTTGTGCTTATGTTAGCTTCATTTATTATGAATGTTCTGAATTTTTTAATGTACACAATTGTCTTTAATTTGGGATTTCCTGTTAGACAATAAACTATTATTTATTTATTTATTTATTTATTTATATCAAGAGTTATTAATAATTTTGAAACACATGGGTGCGTGTCCGCAGAAAAACACAAAATGCCTGATGTGTTGATTAATGAAGAACGGGAGTTAAAGCA